AATTTTTATTTATTTCCTGTGCATTATTCACAAATAATATTCACGAATACTGTTAACAGGTATTATTCATGGGGGTAAAAATTGTCACTATGAAATTTAAATTTAAGTTAAGATATATAGGTCATTTTAATCATCGTATGAGCATGTGATGTCCTTGAGCATTGAATTGTAATATATAAGGTGTTTGAGGCCTTGAGAGGGTCAATTACACATCATTATCATCATCATCATCATCATCATCTTTTAGCTTTTTTCCAATTAATTGGGGTCGACTACATGAATCTTGGTTCTCTATTATGCTCTATTAAAGGCCATATCCTCAATGAGGTTGTAAGTCCCCATATCTTTCGGACTACTTCCAACCACGTCTTTTTGGGCCTAACCCTGGCCTTTTTCAGCCCTTCCTCTTGAACTAACTAGCACTTCCTAACAGGTCCTGCACTAGGTCGGCGCCATATATGGCCAGCCCACTGTCAGAAAGATCTAGGTTGTTTTGGCAAAACTTTAAAATCAGAAAGTCTACAACCTTTTGATTTCTATACAAGTTGGCTTTGCTTTATAATGTTTGTATTGTTAGTCACTTATTACACATGTTTGTTTTATTGGTTTTTGAGATGTATGATTATTTTAAGAAATAAAATTCCCGTATATCTGTTTCTTCTGCAGCTTTCTACTTTCTATGCATGATGGTTTTCCTGGACATTTGCTTTTAAATGCATGCGATCTTAGGAACTCTTCATATACTCGTTTGTGTTATTGGTTCATGAGAAATACGATTTGTCTTAAGGAGTCATATTTTTGTATTTCTACTTCTCATGCAACCTTCTGATCTCTTTACATGTCGATTTTATTGTGCATTTGCTTCCAGATGTATGCAATGTTAGTAAATTTTTTATGTGCATTTGTTTTACTGGTTTTTGATATAAATGTTTTGTCTTAAGGAATCGATTTATGTATTTCTGCTTTCTCTGCAACTTTTTGATATTTATACAAGTTGGCTTTGCTTTAAAAATCCTGAGAGCATCCATTTTGTGCACAAAGAGCCAAAGGTTAGGACCGTCTCCAACTCACCCCTCACGAGACCCTGTATAGGAGGGACGTGCACTAGGTTACGGTTTTGCTTTAAAATATGTGTTGTTAGTAATTTTTTTATGCGTGTTTTTTTTATTTGTTTTTGAGATGTGTGGTTGTATTAAGGAATTAGATTTCTGTTTCTCTGTTTCTTTTGCAACTCTACTTTCTTTGCACATTGGTTTTACTGGGCATTTGCTTTTAAATATATGCGATGTTAGTAATTCTTCATTTACTTGTTTGTGTTATTGGTTTTTGAGATGTACGCTTAGTAGGAAGAAATATATTTATATATTTATACTTCTCCTGCAACCTTTTGATCTCTTTATATTTTAGTTTTGCAGTGCATTGCTTTAAGATGGAAGCATTGTTAGTAAATTTTTTATGCATGTTTGTTTTGATTTGTCTTAAGGAATCGATTTCTGTATTTCTGCTTCTTGTACAACTTTTTGATCTTGATACAAGTTGGTTATGCTTTAAAATTTATGTGTAAATTTTTTAAGCCTATTTGTTTTATTGGTTTTTGATATATATAATTGTCTTAAGGAATCAGATTTCCATATCTCAATTTCTTTTGCAACTGGGTATTTGATGTTGTTTTTTTTTACTGGCTATTTGCTTTTAAATGTACGTGATGTTAGTAACTCGTCATATACTCGTTTGTCTTACTGGTTTTTGAGATGTATGATTTATCTTAAAGAAAACTATTTCTATATTTCTGCTTCTCGTACAACTTTTTAATCTTTTTACATGTTGTTTTGCTGTGCATTTGCTTTAAGATGTATGCATTGTTCGTAAATTTTCTATGCACGTTTGATTTACCGGTTTTTGATATTATGATTTGTCTTAAAGAATCGGTTTTTGTATTTTTGTTTTTTCTGCAACTTTTTGATTTCAATACAAGTTGGTTTTGCTTTAAAATATGTGTTGTTATTAACTTTTTTATGCATGTTTCTTTGATTAGTTTTTGAGATGAATGATTGTATTAAGGAATCAGATTTTTGTATCTACGTTTCTTCTGCAACTTTCTACAGTATGTGCATGTTGGGTTTAATGGGTATTTGCTTTTAAATGTATACGATATTATTAACTCTTTGTGTATTTGTTTGTCTTACTGGTTTTGAGATGTGTATGATTTATCTTAAAGGAACGTATTTCTATATTTCTGCTTCTCCTGCAACCTTCCGATCTTTTTACATATTGGTTTTGCTTCCCATTTTCTTTCAGAAGTATGCATTGTTCGTAAATTTTCTGTGCCCGTTGGTTTTACTGGTTTCTGATATGTATGATTTATCTTAAGGAATGGATTTTTGTATTTCTGGTTTTGTATTTTTGATATGTTTTACTTTAAAATGTATGTGTTGTTAGTAACTTTTTTATGCGTGTTTCCTTTCTTGATTTTTGAGATGTATGATTGTTGTAAGGAATCATATTTTTGTATCTCAATTTATTCTGCAACTTTTTACTTTCTATGCATATTGGTTTGACTGGTTTTTGAGATGTATGATTTGTCATAATAAACATATTTATGCATTTCTGCTTCTCCTGTAACCTTTTGACCTCTTTAAATATTGGGTTTGCAGTGCATTTGCTTTAATATATAAAGCATTGTTAGTAAATTTTCTACGCGCATTTGTTTTATTTGTTTTTGATATGTATGATTTGTCTTAAGGAATAGATTTTTGTATTTTTGCTTCTTCCACAACTTTTTATTTCCATACATGTTGGTTTTGCTTTAAAATGTTTGTCTTGTTAGTAACTTTTTTATGCATATTTATTTTATTGGTTTTTAAGATGTGTGATTGTCTTAAGGAAAATCTAATTTTTGTATCTCTGTTTCTTCTGCAACTTTCTATTTTCTGTGTTTGTTGATTTTATGGGGCCTTTGCATTTAAATGTGTGCGATGTTAGTTACTCTTCATATACTTGTTTGTATTAGTAGTTTTTGAGATATTATTAGTTGTAAGGAAACACATTTATGTATTTCTTCTTCTCCTACAACCTTCGGATATCTTTACATGTCGGTTTTGTTGTGCATTTGCTTTAAGAGATATGTATTGTTAGTAAATTTTCTATGCACGTTTGTTTTACTTGTTTTTGATATGTATAATTTGTTTTAAGGAATTGATTTCTGTATTTCTGCTTCTTTTGCAACGTTTTGATTTCTATACACGTTGGTTTTAATTTAAAATATATGTGTTGTTAGTTACTTTTTATGCGTGTTTGTTTTATTGGTTTTTGAGATGTATGATTGTCTTAAGAAATCAGATTTCTGTATCTCTATTTCTTCTGCAACTTTTTACTTTCTATGCATGTTGTTTTTACTAGGCATTTGCTTTTAAATTATGCGATGTTAGTAACTCTTCGTATACTTGTTTGTCTTATTGGTTTTTAAGATGTATAATTTTTCTTAAGAAATCATATTTGTGTATTTTTACTTCTTCTGCTACCTTTTGATCTCTTTGCATGTTGGGTTTGTTGTGGATTTGCTTTAAGATGTATGCATTGTTAGTAAATTTCATTGCACGTTTGTATTACTAGTTTTTGATTTGTATGATTTGTCTTAAAGCATCAATTTCTATATTTCTGCTTCTTCGACTTTTTGGTTTCTACACACGTTGGTCTGGCTGTAAAATGTATGTGTTGTTAGTAACTTTTTTATGCGTGTTTGTTTTATTGGTTTTTGGGATGTGTGATTGTCTCAAGGAATGAGATTTATGTATTTCTGTTTCTTCTGCAACTTTCTATTTTCTATGCACATTTGTTTTACTGGGCATTTGCTTTTAAATTTATGATTTGTTAGTAACTCTTCATATATGCGTTTCTCTTACTGGTTTTTGAGATGTATGATCCTTCTTAAGGAAACATATTTCTGTATTTCTACTTTTTTTACAACCTTCTGATTTCTCTACATGTTGGTTTTGCTATGCATTTGCTTTAAGATGCATGCATTGTTAGTAAATTTTCTATGCGTGTTTGTTTTACTGGTTTTTTATATGTTTGATTTGTCTTAAGGAATCGATTTCTGTATTTCTGCTTCTTCTGCAACTTTTTTATTTCTTTACACATTGGTTTTGTTGTTCTTTGCTTTAAAATGTATGCAATGTTGGTAAATTCCATACTCTTTAGTTTTAGTGGGTTTTGAAAGATGTTCATTGTGTTTCAGGCACTATGATGGCTCCTAATAGCATTGCGAGTAGAACCAGGTCATGTACTTGTCCTTCTGGTTCCTCTCTTTTGCCTGATGAAGGGAAGGAAAGGGTTCAAGTTGTGAAGAAAGGGAATGCAGCTAAAAGGGCCCAATCACAATCGAAATCAGAATCCACAAGATATGCAGTCGAGCCACAGACTGATTCTTCAGAGTGTGAACTGAATTCTGATTCTGATTCAATTATGATAGTTGATGCTGAGAGAGAGGGAGATAGTTCAGTGTTTGGAGCACAACCTCAATCAGTCATTGACTTAACTGATGGATCAGATTCAGTTACCAGTAGTACTTCAGGAAGCAAGATGATGGGACACGAAACAAATGATTTGGATTCTGATGACGACCTATCAGCTTATATAGTGAAGCCTTTTGTACCAGCCAAAATAGGGCCTTGCATAGCTCACAGAACCCGGTCTCAGTTTGGTCGACCAGCAAGCAGTAGTTCTTTCATAGCAAACAGAACCAGGGTTGGTTTTGGTCGATTTCCTGATCAGATGCTTGGTACGGTTAGTCGCCCTATCTGTATCGATGAGGAGGTGCCCGTTTCTTCTTCTTGTTTGCCTCCTTCTTCTCCTCATTCGTCTTCTTCTTCACCTCGTTCCTCCTCCTCCTCCTATTCTTCTTCCTCCTCTTCTTCTTGTGGTGATGATAGTGATGATATGGATTATAAGATATCAAATGATGATGATGATGATGATGATGGTGGTGGTGGCGGTGGTGGTGATGACGATGATGACGATGACGATGATGGGGATAATGATGAGAGCGATGATGTTATGGCTGAGGCGAAGGTGATGGTGGAAAAACCAGAAATAGAAGAGGGGTCACATTCGAACTCAAAGGAAAATTGTGGAAGGAGGAAGAAAGTTTTAGGAGGGTGTTCTGATGATTCTACTTCTCAGAGAAAGGAAGTGGCAGTACAGCAAGAAGAAATAGGGTCGCAGCCTAAAGCAAAGAGAGCTTGTGGAAGGAGGAAGAGGAATTTTGAAGAAGAGGCTAATGATGATACTGGTGATGAAGTGGAGGAAGCATTACCGACAGGTGAAAGCTTGCATACTGTAATGGGGTTGGTTTCTGAGAGGGGCGAAGATGTTTCGAATTTTTCTTATGATGATGATCATGATGAAGAAGGCTTGCATGTGGTCTTTGAAAGGAGGGAAGAAAATGTGCCTAATTGTCCTTATAGTGATGACCACAATGAGGAAGGCATGCATTCTAAAACAATGGAGGTTTCTGAAAGGAGGGGAGAAGATGTCCCAAGTTGTTCTTATAAAGCAGACCATGATGTTGTGAGTGAACGAAAGGTGGAGGAGGCACCACCAAGGAAAGAGGAGCTGTTTTGTGAAATCAGTGGAATTGGTGGAAAAGAAAAGATATCTAAAGAGGATGGTACTAATGATGGTTGTTGTAATGAGGATTGTGACGTTGCCGCTGAAAAAAACGAAGAGGTAACACCACAGCAGAAAAAGGAATCGGTTTATAAAAGAAATGAGATTAGTGCAAAGAAGAGGAAGATTGTAGAAGAGGATGCTGATGATACCGCTGATCGCAATGCGGGCATGGCAGCATCCAATGGAGAAAGATTGAACTCTAAAAAAAAGAGAATTCGTGGAAAGAGGACGGAGGGTTGGCAGGACAAGGCTGATGCATTATTCAATGATATGTTGAAGACCATTCGTCAAAAGCAAGAAAATTTACCTAAGAAATGGACCCCAAAAGAAGATGTCAAGAAAGTTCCTCAAGTTTCCCCTATGCAAGACTATACAAACTTTCCCTTGAAGTTCTACTTTGGAGAGGATAAAGAGAGCAATAAGGAGAAAGAAAAAACAGCCGAGGAAGAGGAGTTGGACGAGCTATGGAGGGAGTTTAATTTCGCGTTGGAATGCCAATCCCTTGAAAATATGAATCCTTCCACTGTAAGTGGTGTATAATTTTGAACCAAAGTTCGAAGCTGATCTATTTTTCTGAGTTGAAATTTTGTTTTCTTAAACTTCATACTGTTTGTTGAGTTATTTTACTTGGTTATCTGATTTTATTTTTTATAAGATTATAATATTTTACTTTTTATAAATTACAATGCTTCTTTTTCTGTGCACAAACACACATAAGAATAGGGAAAATATCTTGAATCTACCACTAATTTGATATAGTTGCCCCTTTGACACTGGAATTTCTTGGAAACCAATTTCAATTTTCAGATACATTATCCTATATTTGCATGTTAGTTGGGCTACACCTAAATACTTATGTGTAGTATCATCATGACTGGGGTGTTTGTAGTATAAAATAATGATATACAAGTTACATTTCTGTGAAGCTAAACCCTTTTACTTATACAAAAGAAATCGTAGAATTGAATTCACAGGGACTAAATTTGTAACATTAGTTCACACCATATTTTGGCTTATTAGTCATTTTTATTTTCCAGTAAGGCATGAAAGACACTCCTTCCAAAGAGATGAGTTACACACAGGCACCAATACACACAAACACAGGGTGTTCCCTATTAACTAACTAACAAAATATACTGGCCCCACAAAATTCTTAGTTAGTATTTATGCTTAAACAGTTAATAGGGTTGTGTTTGCTCTTAGCCCCCATAGAACTATGGAGTTCCCTCTTTACTAGCTAATAAACTAAGATGACATCTCTCATTGTCCTGGTCCCATAAAATTCTTAGGTACTAGCTGCACACTAAGAGGATTATATTTTCTTTGAAACAAACTGAATCTTTGTGGCTCTGTGGAGCACTATGGGATGACTCCACTCAATGTTCAGTATGACACATCCACTGCCCTCAAGGTTGGATTTCCTCAATACTTCCATCAAACATAGGTTTTATGGTTTCTTTGGTTAAGGTGACTGTATGATATTATTATAATAGGAATACAGGCTTTGTGATCTTTCTTGGGGCAAATATTATAAAAATCTACTCTAGCATTTTATATGGAATCTGATTCTTGGCTTCAGGATATGAGATTTATGGTCATCTTTCCATCATCTTCTACGCCAATTCTCAAACGTACCTATGAGAAACATCCTGCCATATCACCTCGATCAATGTGTCTGGTGACTATGATCTGCACTGGAATGTCTCTTTCCTTCAACACATGCCAACTTGTCACAAGCAAGGATGACCACTGCAATGTATAATCCCTCTGATTCCAGTCTTTTCCTGCGTGACCTTGCAATAATTTAGGAAAAAGCATTGATTGATACAGTCAGTAAATCAAGAAAATATACAGGAATGAATAAATTTTACAAAATCTCGTCATACATGTCCACTCCAAACAATTGAACATGCATCTTGACGAGACTTATTCTCATGTTTCCTTGACTTCCCGGCACAAAAGACACACAACGGGCACTAGTGCACCCTGTGTTGTCCATCATCACTCAAATGAATATTTTCCTTGTAAACTGATTACAAGAGACATAAAGCCATTTGGAACTCATCCAGTAGGAACAACATATTTGGATTCCTCTTCCCCTTTACAATACTTTGATTTTATTTAGATAATCCCATTTTAAAGCCTTGCATGGCATGTGTGCATAGATATGTGCACACAGGCACACAAAGAAGGAAAAGTATTCAATGAACAAACTACAATTTTAAAACTCAAGCTGTCTGATGTGGTATGCAACGGTTGAGTATGCTGTTTCTCCACTCACAGTCCATTGATAAATTTTAACAGAACTTTGAGCATAGGAAAAACACATCTCTGCTGTCACATTCCACATCAGACAGCTTGGGAGGGAAAAAAGCAGTGCACTCACTGTGTACAACCCTTTTACACAAACTTACATGCAATACTTACATGCATATATTGACATGCATATTGAACAAACATACATTAATGTATAGAGCTATTTGTAGCACATGTAGGTATGTGCATATATATAGGATTTGTTAATTTATACTGATATGAGAGTTGCTAATTTACTCCTATAAGGCAATACCAATGGCATAAGCTGAAATGTAATTAGGCACATTAATTGTGCTGCCAGAAACTGAGTATTTTCTTAGAAGTATTTCTTTTATTTGCCAGGCTAATGATGAATACTACTCCTGCCTAAAGAAGATCTGCACTAAATTCTCTGGCTTTACTACTGTTTAGAAATTGTGCTAGACATCGAAATTCTTCACTGCATGTAAATTATGTTAACAAATATCTAGCTAAAGTTGGAGGATAATTGTCATTCCAAATTATGGTGAAGATATGCAATTCTCATTTTTATAGAAAGTATGTTGGCAAATCCTTAACAGTTATATATTATGGCACAATATAGCAGACTAGAAACTCCACGTACATTGATTTAGAGTTTCTACATGTCTGCTTAAATGTACACTTGAGCAGTATCTATTGTTATTTTACCTGTAATTCTATGAATATCATCATCTTGTTATGCCCCTATTATGGGAATAATGGCTAACCAAGTTCTGTAGGTGGTGTGATGACTGTCCAGCAAGGAATCACTTATCCAGTTTTTGTTTGGTCATATATCTTGGGGATGAACTCCTTTTACAGGGGATGTCTGACCTGTAATTTTCTGTGAAGGGCCATGTCCTTCACAAAATAACATGCCTGAGGAAATACCCATGGCATGGAACAGCCATATTCCTTGAGTTAGGCAATATATCTTTTTTTTTTTTCTTTCAATATATATATTCTTTCTTTTTGTTATCTGATGTAGTATTTCATAGTGACATTCTACTATGTATATGAAAAATAGCAATGTGTTTATGGCATCATTATTTGAAAATCAATGTTTTTTGCATTTTGAGTTTATGCAAGGAAACTATGCTTTCCTTTTTAATCCTTTTTTTTTTTTTGTATAATGTAAAATTACTTGACATTTCTTCGTGAATCGCAGATGAACTCAAATATTGCCAGTAATCTGCCAGAGGCTGAGAGCAAGTCCTCCAATTCATGTAGTGAAGGGGGTCACCTATATATAATTAATGATCAAATTGGTATTGTATGCAGATATTGTCATCATGTTCAACTGGAGATTCAATATGTTTTACCTCCATTTGTAAGTAAAGGCATCTTTGAGTCAGTGATGTAATATTTGTGTAGGGAATGAAGTAACTTTCCAACTATCTAAAGAGCTCAAGTACACATATCTCGCAATGATATTTTGTGTTACTCATCATGAATTTGTTCTTTGCAGGTGACAAATGTTACCCGTAAATCCAGAAAGAAAAATTCAGATGAAGAGGGTAATGCCTCCCTGTTGGGTGCAACATTTTCTCAAGAAGTTAATGTGTTGCCATGCAATTACTCAACACCATCAAAGGGAACTGTCTGGGACATGATACCCGGTGTAAAGAATAGGATGCACGCCCATCAAATAGAAGGTTTTGAATTTCTTTGGTACAATTTAGCAGGAGGCATCACTCTTGATAAACTGAAACCAGAAGGCTCTGAAGGTATTGGTGGGTGTGTCATTTCACATGCTCCAGGCACTGGAAAGACCCTTCTAACCATTGCATTTCTCCAATCATTTATGCAAGTGTATCCAGATTGCAAGCCAATACTAATTGCACCTCTTAGCATGATGTGCTCGTGGAGAGAAGAGTTGAAAAAATGGAAGGTTGACATTTCTTTACATATCCTCAACATAGATGCATTTTCTAGGGAGGAAGATGCTGCAATGCATGAGATGGTGTCTGAGTATACATCTGACAAGACTTTGGTGCGCTTGGTGAAAATATATTCTTGGAGCAAAGGAAGAAGTATTCTTGGAATAAGCTATGAACTGTTTTCAAAATTGACAATGGAGGAGCATAAAACAAAAGATAAAAGAAAATACAAAGAGATACAAGAGCTCCTTTTTAAAGAATCAGGATTATTAGTCCTGGATGAGGGTCATACGGCTAGAAATCAAAGCAGCAATATTTGGAAGGCCCTTACACAAGTGAAAACTTTAAGGCGCATCATGCTCTCAGGAACTCCATTTCAGAATAATTTTATAGAGCTCTTCAATACATTGTACTTGGTAAGACCATTTTTTGCTGACGACATATTTGAGATGAGTTCCCTAAATCATCCATTTTGGCTACGAAATTTGTCAGAGAAAAAGAGGGCAGCCAGAATACGAAGTTCTTTTATGGCCAAGATTGGGCATAAAATTGAGTGCAGGAAAGAGGATTCTAATGAATGCTTGGCTGTTCTAAGGAATATGGTGGATCCGTTCATACACTCGCATGATGGCTCAGTCCTTGATAATCTTCCTGGGCTTAGAGAATATAAGGTTGTTCTAATTTTGTTTCCCATTCAAGACACAATCCTCAAGAGCAAAATGTCTAAAGTTAATCTTTTTGATAACGAGTGCATAGTTTCATCCGTGGCCATTCATCCTTCCCTACTAAAATCCCCCTCTAAAGAAGATATGCTCAAATTCAAGCTGGATGACATAAGACTCAAGTGGGAAGAGGGTGTGAAGACAAGATTCGTAATCGATCTAATTCGACTAAGCAATGTAGCCAATGAGAGGGTATTGATATTCAGCCAATATATCCCTCCATTGCGGCTTCTCATGCATCAGCTTGTGTCTTGTTTTGGCTGGAAGGAGGGGTGTGAAATTCTCCAGCTAGATGGAGATGTTAGGGATGTGGGGCTCCGTCAATCCATGATCCATAAGTTTAATGACCCCAACAGTGAGGCCAGAGTTGTTCTCGTATCAATTAGAGCTTGTTCAGAGGGGATAAATCTGACTGGGGCATCGAGAGTGATCTTACTTGATCCTGTTTGGAACCCTGCTGTCGTGAAGCAAGCTGTCAGTCGGGCATTTAGGCTTGGACAGAAGAAGATTGTATACATTTACCATCTAATTGCCCATGAAACACTGGAACAGCAGAAGTACGATAGGCATGCTTGGAAGAGCTGCTTATCGAAATCAGTTTTTGGGACAGCGGAAGAGCACAAAGAAGAGCAGCGTATTAATGGGACAGATATCGAAGATGATATCTTGAGGGAGTTATTCGAGAATGCGAGATGTATGTTTGAGGGAATCTACTAGATGCACCTTGGAAATTTTGAGGGCTTGTTTTTTTTCTCGTGCAACTTGGACTTCCGTCTTTTTCTTTCCTGTTTTGAGGACTTCCTTTCTCATCGCCCAATTCTGTGTCATATACTTGGGTAAACACTTCTCTATTCGATCATTTTTGTTTAATTGTTGCCAGACATTGGTATTTGGTATACAAGTTATCTAGATTGGTGTTCTCTTCTTCTGTTGGACTTGAAATTGTTCCATGAATGTAGGAAATAATTTCTTGCGTACATTTGTTCTTAATCTTTAGGGGAGTTGAAGTAATTCTTTATTTACCACTAAATAGTGTAACATGCAATTATAGAGATTATTCATGCAGATTATAAAGACATTTTTTATCAGCCTTATTTTAAAATTGTTGATTTATCAACTGCTAAATTGGCGTAAAATCCTGCCTCTCCATAGGTACTACATCCACACCAATAACCAATAATACAACGCTGTACTTAAACAGTGTTTTTCTCAAATTGGAAATGGCGTATCCTTGAAGCTTGTTCTTGGCCATGTTTCTCCAAGTAGAGTCTGAGATAGACATTCTTTTGTTCTTGAAATTTATGCAGTTTAAAGATATATGGACTGACATACAATTTGTACAAATGAATACTGTTCCTGAATATTTTTTATATGCTAGTTTATTTGTTATTTTAGAGGTGTTTTTGCATAGTCTTCAAACCATCATCTAACCAGATGAAAAGTTGACACTATTGGATGGTAAGGTGGGTTTTACGGAGCTGCTGGAGGCAGATACCCCAGGAAATAACTATTACCATACAGAAACATGGATAGTTCCATTCTGTGTTGAGGTATATCTGATTATTTTCAATTGATTACTTGCATGTCAAAAACATGTATTTGAAAACAGACCTATGCGAGAGTGTGTCTAATTTAGGTTAAGAATCGTGCTCTATGCCTTGGTAACATTTTTTTCTTATGGATGCATTAAGAAAGCATGCAAGCCTCTGATTGCTAGTTATTTTATTTCTATCCCTTTGTGCCTAGACAATGCAGCCCAAAGGAATGGATGTGGCCAAGATGAAATGCTCATTGGACTGGCGAAATGCTCATTGGACTGGCATGACTCTACGTCTGAAATGTGCTTTGGCCAAGGTGAAATATGCTAAAGCTAAAGGTTGAGCTCTCTGGCAGTGATGAGGTGAAGGCCATGAAGAAGGCCTTCCAGAAGATGTTAGAATTTGGTGGTTATGGTGGACCGATTGTGACAACAGCTGGAGGACACTATGATGAACTGCATTTCAATTCAAGGTGTTTCTGTCCCAAGTCTGGTGCTTAGAGGTAATGCATTGGTTTTGTTCTTGATAATGCACTATTTCTCTCCAAGTCTATGCGAAAATCCAAAATCCTGTATCTGGTAAATTTGCTAAAGTTGCGTACAATTTCACTCTCTAAAATCGAGGTTGAGTGCTGTTTCTCTACGTTCCATGAAATGAACTAGGTTTAGATATCAAATAAGGTTAAGTCTTTATTTTGTATGCAGATGGTATATGCTTTTGTTTCAAATCGATAATTGAGGCTAACCTAATTCGTGGGGGCTATTGTCCAACTTATCTTGAATGCTTAATACATTTCAGTTTACGTAATTTCAGATTGAATTTTTCACACAGTAATCATTTTGTTTGCACATAGTGTTTCTGATCATTCACATGCATAGGAAGCCAACTTGATTGAATGTTTGATTTCAGAGTAAACTTCCAAGAAAAAGAGAAAATTTAACATCTACCGCATATTACTTCTCTCCATAGACTCATAAAGATGATAGTCTCTTGAATTATGACGAGAAAAGCAGGAATCTTGTATGGTGTTATTTACTAGAAACCTCTCCTATATCAAATGGAACATGAAAATTGGGCTGTAGCCATCCTATTCTCTCCCATTTGGTGGTATATAAACCTAACGTTTCAACATTGTCTATTCCCTCCACAGTATTATTGGGAACAAGAATTGCTTTTCCATATTTTCCTTCCCTCAAATACTCTGCTATGCTTGATTCAAATAGTACATAACCTGCTGGAAGCAACTTTATTCTGGTTGAGTTACATTCAAATGTCTGGAAGTAATTTTAGGCTTAATAACAGTAAATGTGGAAGGCTACCAGGTTTCTGTGACAATTTGTGCGCTCTCACGATCCAAAGATCTAACCAAATCCAGATCAACCCGTATAGATGCCAGGCTTACTACATGAGATGAATCCAAAAGAAGTACTGATGTCAGGTGTTCATCACTACTTTGGACATGACTGGGACATAAAGATATGCTGTCGCACAAGGTCCATCCTTGAACTATAACTTAATTTAAGTTTCAATTGAATGATGCTGTTAATATGCACCTTTTATAACTCGCAGCAATTATAGGTGTATTGGCCCCTAGATTGTGAAACAAGTACCAACATATATTCAGATTGATGGGTCATGTATGGTGAGGTTTGGATATCTTGCTACCAATCTCTGTAATGCAATCATTTAACTGGACTTCAGAATGTCAATTTCAAATGCTATATCAAATTTTTTTTTTTGATGCCGATGAGTCTCTACACAATAAGTCAATGTGACTTACAGTAGCTTTCAATAAAACTCTTGCATGCCTAAGCATGTGCACAAGCACTTCATAAATTATCTAGCATGTCAAATCATGCACAAAGGCACATTATGATATGATGTGTACCAGCAACTTCACAAAGTGAACTAAACACTCAGGTTAGTTTCCAAACTATTGCTCTGTTGATTTTTTAAGTTTTCAATGGATCATATATTGTTAATAAGGAAACAATTTGAGACATGTGGAAAAGCTTTGAAGCTATTTGAAAACTATCAATATGGTCCCCAGATGTTTATGAAGAGTTTCTCCAACCAGTAAAATTGGTTTGCAACCACCACTAATAGGTACAGAGGTTATATTTTAGAATTCATATTAAAAAGTGGAAGTTATTAAGTTCTAAGACTTATGCACTCACCTGAACATGCTCCAAATGCTCCCCTTGACTCCCAGATTTCAGACTTAAACTCACAGGTCGAGCATCAAATGCATGAAGGTCTCCCCGGAAGAAGGAGGGTTAAGATTCATTGAAGGTACATTCCTCAAGCATATGCGTCACATTGTGGTAAATACCATTTCAAATCATGCCTCACCTGTCTTCCTGATGCATTTTCATTGGGGCTTATTTTGTCCTTGAGATGTGCTTCACCTAGTTTTTAACAGCTATGGCAATAAGACTATTGAGTGACAATTCCATATAGTTTTAATCCCCAGATATGGATCTTTGTTTGAATAACTTACGGTATGAAAGTTACTGAAAGGATGCTCCATTGACACTAGATCGATATTACATTGCAAGGGAAACATGGTACATATGCAACATAAGCTTAAGCTACAGTAAAATCTCATTTCAAGACTGAAACAAATTGAAGATGCAACAAGCTTTAAGAGCCTCTTTCTAATGCAAAACTCATCTTTATAAACTAAAATAAGAGAAATGAATAAAAGCCTGACAGCTCCAATCAATAGGTTGTGTGATAGAAAATGTAACAAGCCCAATATTTGTGGAAGATTAAAGATGGTATGAGGGAGCTAGTTTGCTTATGCACTTATGCACATAATTCTATGGGTCACAATAGACCAGAATAGGGTTAAGTGACCAGAAAGGCTTGTAAACTGCAGACCTATGAGATAGGAAGATAACTGATACTGATGTTTGACCCATTTATGTGAAACATTAAGTAGAGTCTACGTTGATGTGTGTTTATCTAAAATTACTACATTCAATATAAATGTGGATCAACTGAGCGAAGTGTGATGTATCCCATCTATCATTCCCTAGAATTTTGGTTGCTCAAAATGAGGTCTTGCTGTACCTTGCTATTTATGTGCAAGTAATAGCAAGGTTCAATTATTTGTATAACCGAATTTGTACTTGGAAACTTGGCTCAGCAATGTTCCGAGTCTGAATAACTCAGCCGAGTTTTAAAACCTTGGGTAATTGTGATCATCAGATGATAGAAATTGAGGTCATCAGAATCTTTGGCTTGATGGAACTTTTTTTTCCTAGAAGAGTTTACTGGTATTGAGTATAAGAAGTAAATATACAAAGGGGAGCCCCTTACATGGGTCGTATATCACAAGGTGCTGTAGGTACAAGAATTCTATACAATCACTTCGTGATATATCAAGACCAAAACTGGCAACAAAAACTAGTGAGGCCCATTCCCAGGAGTAGATGATGCTCCCTCTTTCACTAAAGCGTCAGCTACGGAGTTGGCTTCATGCCAAATATGGGTCTATAAAACTCTGATTTGGCACGTTATATCTACGCTCTCATCCAAAATCTGGGCCAGCCTCCAGGGATGAACAGCAGAGCCCGAAGCCCAAGGAATGATGGATTTAGAGTCTCCTTGAATAGTAATATGGTTGCTCCACTCAGGCCTATAAGGTCTTAGGCATTCGAGTAGAGCAATGGCATCTGCTGTAGTACTGTCGGCAAGGCTAATGGGCTTGGAGATAGCAAGAATAGTGAAGCCAGAAGGGTTCCTGAAACATCCTCCAACCCCGGCTGGTCCTGGGTTACCCAGGGAACAGCCACCAAAGTTTAATTTGATCCAGCCTTGTTCTGGAGGTCTCCAAAGCAAGGAATGAGTGACTCTCGAAGGTGGAGTGGCATAATACCTGCCAATTGGACCAGAAGTCTGCTGAGGAACAGGCTTGATGAAACATCTTATAATTTGTAGAGAGGTGGTGGTGTGATCAAACATGTGAGTTGGAGGAGAGGACTTGTCCCTTGAAAGTGAGGGAATTGCAGAGTTAAGCACTTGTGTATGTAGGAACTAAACTTCTTATAAGCTTTTTACCTTGCACGATAAAATTTGATACATTAGTCTTGGGTTTCACAGAATTTTATTCTTTTATTCATTTTTACTTCATTTGAGGATATTTTTAGCTAGCTACTTTACATTTGATAAGGAGGCTTAATCTATCGGTTTCGCCACAAGGCTTAAATGTTCCATCTCCTCCATCTCTCTCTTTTCCACTTCTTGATCATCTCGACTTACTCCAACACTAAATCGTCAAAATTTGATTTACATCCTCTAACACACCCATTTAAAGAACATCTTCAGCATGGAAGTATTTAACAGAACCACAGTTTTTGAGATAATTGACTATATATATATATATACATACATATATATATATATATATATATACATTGCTTACTAGTAGCAAA